TCCTTCCTTTCTTTCTCTTTCCTTTTTTTTTTTCTTTCCCTTCCTATCTTCCTTCCTTTCTTTCCTTTTGAAAGGCAGAGTCACAGAGCAAAGTAGAGACAGAAATATCTGCCAGAAGTTTCTTCCAGATCTCCCACATGGGTTCAGGGTCCTAAGGCTTTGGGCAGTCCTAAACTGCTTTCCCAGGCCACAAGCAGGGAGCTGGATGGGAAGCGGAGCAGCTGGAATTCAAACCTGAGGACTTTAGCCACCAGGCTACCATGCTGGGTCCCCAGAGATTGTTCTTCAACACAGCCAGCACTTCCCTCCCTCCTTCCTCTAGCCACTGTTCTCCTTCTGCCTAAAATCTCCTTCCACATTCTTGGAAATGCCTAGTAGGTAGTTTAAAACTCATATCACACATAACCTTCTCTTTGTCACTGTCCATAAAAGTATTCTATCTTCAGGCCCAGCACGGTAGCCTAGTGGCCAAAGTCCTCACCTTGCATGCACCAGGATCCCATGTGGGTGCCAGTTCATTAAAACAAACAAACAAACAAACAAACAAAAAACAAAAACCTCTACCCTTTGAAACATTGAATTGGAAATATTTCACATTTATTTCACATTGAACTGGAAATATTTCAAAAACAATGCAATTCTTAAAGATATACATGGTCACTATAAAAATTTTAAAAATCAAGAGTGGAGGTTCACAAACGATGGTACTGTTGGTTAAGCCACTGCTTGCTTAACCACACGAGTACTGGTTCATGCTCTAGCTGCTCTGCTCTCAATCCAGCCCTCTCCTCATGCGCCTAGGAGAGCAGTGGAAGACAGTCCAAGGCTTAGGTCAGCATCACCCACGTGGAGACCTGGGTGAAGCTCCTGTATTTGGTTTGGCCCAGTCCCTACTGTTGTGGCCATCTGGGGAGTGACTCAGCAGGTGGAAGATACCATTCTCTCTTGCTCTCTTTGTAACTCTGCTTTCAACTAAGAGAATCTTAGAAAAAACAAAAAGTGACCTGTTGATCAGAACCTAACCCTGAGGCATGAACAGCCCTCTGAGAGATGAGTACAGAAATTTACTTGTGGAGAACTAGCCGAAGTTTATCAGACTCTCATGTGCAACCCTGAAGGCAGAGTATGTCTTAGTCATTGCTACAGTCCTAATGTTTTGAATAGAGACTGCTACTTAGTGGTCAACTAGTAAGACTTTAACAATGAACATCTGAGTGAAAACAGTCCACAGCTGGCAGACCAAAAGCCCCAGGTGCCAAAACAGCAGGCATCTATCCCTGGGCAACACCAGGTGGGTAATTTGCATTTGCAAGCCTGGAAAGTGAATTTATCATCATTTTACTATCCGACAACAGTCTTGTGGCAGGCATTAATGTCAGTATCTTACTGGCGAGAGAAATGAGCTTAAATAATGGCTTAAATAACTTAAGTTTCCTAAAATGCTATCAGGAAACAGTAAGTCTCCATTGCAGTTTTCCATTGCTGCTGTAACAGATTATCACACATTTGGAGGTTCTCATGGAGCTACGAAGCAGAGCCCCTACTTTCTGCTGGCTCTGGAATGTTTCCTTGCCTGTCCCTGCCTCTTAGGGGTGTCTGCATTCCTTCACTCATGTCTTCTTCCTCCTCCTGGAACCTAGGATCTCCATCAAGGTCTCCTCCATGGGTGGCAGGGGTTCAAGAATGGGACCACCTGCTGCTGCTTTCCCTAGACACAACCATATACTGACATGAAATGCTGGTTTGCAGGTGGTAGTTTAATCTGATGTGCCACCTTACAAGGCATCCTTAAGGTTGGAAGCGCACATCTGATGGAGGGAAAAAAACACATATGCATACATACATACACACAAACATGCATATACACACACACACACACACACACACACACATATATATATATATATATATTCCTTTGGCTTATCTACTGAGATAAAAGATACCACTGAAATGTCTCTACTTAAATTCCCCCATTTGCTTCATTCTGGAGTCAAGTCAGTTTCACCGAGAAGAAATCAAGGTGTCAGGAGGGCAGAACACCCTTGATATAGTCTACTTAGCGATCCCATTCAAGGTGTCACCTTTATATCTATCTGCACTAGTCAGCCAATTTCAGTCATTGATTACATGAAGGGATGAATCCATCTAGGAACCGGGTTGAGTGGTTAAAGTTTTAAAGATTTATTTATTTGAAAGGCGGCTGCACAAATGGCCTAAACAGTCGGAGCTGGGCCCATCAGAGGTCAGGGCTGGAGCTTCTGTTCTACGCCGTGAGTACAGAGGTGTAAGGACTTGAACTATCCTCAACTGCTTTCCCAAGGGCATTAACAAGGAGCTGAATCAGCAGTGGAGCAGTCAGGACTCAAACCAGCACCCATAAGGGATGCCAGCATTCCAGATAGCACCTTTACTGGTTATAGGGCAGCACCAGTCTAGAACATGTCCAATTTCTGGACAAATCTCCAAGACAGCCCCAGAACCTGTGTCTGGACCTAGTCAGGAAAACACCAGTGTCTAGCTCTCCGTGCAGTCCTGCCTCCTCCCTCAGCACTCTCGGGTCACAGCAGTTCCCACGCGCTGTCTGATCCAGAGCCTGTGTCGGGCAGGGCTTGTGGACTGCTTAACTAGCCCTCTAAGAACACGGACCAGAGCCAAAGTGGAAGCCTGGCTGATGTGCTGTCAGGGTAGGTAGGACACTTGAGGGTGGAATTAGTTTCTGAGCCAAAGGACAAAGACCAGGCTGCCTATGCAAGGCCCCAGAAGAAAACCACACGATTCACAAATTCTCATCATCTACTACGTACACCATAACCACCAAATCTTAGAGAATGCGAATAAAGGTAAAAGGGAGTTAAGATAGACCCAAAATGACAATGCACAGAAGTATGGAACCCTGTGTCAAAACACATAGGAAAAGCCATAAATGGCATGGGGAGGGCAGTCTGATTGTGCTGCTCCCGGCTTCAGCAGGACCTGGCCTTGGATGTCTCAGGTGTTTGCGCAGTGAACTAGAGGAGGAAGCTCTTTCTGCCATTCAAGTGGAAAAAATTACATATAAAAATACATTAGAGAAGAACATGGAACATAGAACCAACAATTTTTTGGTGCAAAAAAAATCCTGACACCCATGCACTACTGCACATTTTCTAACAATTTTCTTAAGTCCTATTGTAACTTGAGAGCACCAAGTCAGCTCATCGGCAAGGCATATTGGAAGGCTCCCTAAAAAGCAGAGAATCTTCCATTAAGCAATAATCTCGGGGCTGATGTTGTGGCATATCAGGTAAAGCCCCAGGCTGGGAGGCGGGCAGCCATATAGGTGCGGCTTTGAGTCTACCTCCCATCCAGCTACCTGCTGCTGGCCTGGGAAATCCAGCAGGAAGTGGATCAAGTCCTTGGGCTCCTCCATCTGCACGGCAATTTGGAAAAACTCCTGGCTCCATTCTGGCCCAGTCCAAGCTACTCAGGCCCTCTGGGGAGTGAACCAGCAAATGAAAAATCGCCCTCTCTGTAACTGTCTCTTAAAAAACAAAAACAACTTAAATGTAGGTTGTACTTTCATTGAAATCCAATGTTTCAATGAAGCAGAATCAGCTTATACTTTTTATCTTAAAAAATACAATGTTGCAAAAACAGTTCTTGTGTGTCATTCACCCAGTTTCCCCCACATGAATATTTTAAAATTCCGCGGGGATTATCAAAAGTAGCAAAGTGGCAGATCATCAGCTAGTTCCTGGGGAAACCAAGGAGACATAGTTTCAAATCGCTCCTGGAATGAAGCTCAGACAAGTCCAGGAGCTCACCAGGAAACCCCAGTGGGCAGGCGCATGCAAATGGCCTAAGGCTTTTTAAACAAAGATGGACAAATTTAAGATTTATTTATTGTTTTTCTTGGAAAGGCATATTTATAGAGGAGAGATACAAAAATGCCCCCCCCCCCCACACCACCACTGAATCACTCCCCAAGTGGTTTCAACTGCTGGAGCTGAGCCCACTACAAGCCAGGAGACTCCAGGCTATCCTCCCCTGCTTTCCCAAGCCACAAGCAGGGAGCTGGATGGGAAGCGGATCAGGTGGGACACAAACTGGCGCCCATATGGGATCCTGGTGTGAACAAGATTTAGCCACTGAGCCACCGCATCAGGCCCAGAAGGCTTTCTCAAACAATGATGGTGTGTTTTGATTTCATGGGTTAGGGTTAGAGATCCATGCCCCTATTTGTCTAAGCTGAACAAACAAAACAAAACCAAAGCGAAACAAAACAAGAAAGGTATTAAGAGAAAAAGAGGACTGCAGTAAGCCAAGATGTATTCCTTTATAATGGTTATTTACTTCAAATTCGAAGAAACTTTGGTTATTCGCAGGCTAATACCACTTCCGAGAGCAAAAACTCAACAGTCCCCGGGACATAATCTGATTAACTTTGGTAAAGTCCTCGCCCAACAAACCCTGCAACTATTTTCGGAAACGAGGGATTTTCCAGGTTACTGGAAGCCGGTCGTCCTCGTCGCCGCGCCCCACCGGGAACCGGGTGGCTCCTTGGCTGGTTTTCTAGAAAAGACTGAGCTGACAGGCAGCCCTCTTAGGGGCCCCTGTACCTCATAAACTCATCCGGAGAACCACCCAAGTCGCCCTCTCCGTCTGGCTCCCCGCAGCCCCGCCGGGGTCCGCCAAGGTGGGCCCGACGCCCGCCTGGCACTCGGCCCGCGGCGCGGAGGGCGGGAGCGCGAGGCCACGGCCGACGGGCCCCGACTCGCCGTTAGCGCGGCGCGGGGCCCTCGGCCGACGGCGCCGGCGTCTCCGCGAGGGAGGCGCCTGAGGGCGCAGGGCGCGGCCGGGCGGCGGGCGGCGGGGTCGCAGGGGCCGGGCGGGACCCACCGACCCCGAGCCGAGCAGGCCCGCCGACCCCGCGGCCAACGCCGCTCGCCCCGCGCGGGAGGCGCGGCCTGAGGGACTCGTTGGCGGGCGCCGGCCGGGCGCGGTGACGTCAGGGCGGAAGCGCTCGCTGCGTGAGGCGGCCCCGAAGCCGGCGGTCACGGGAGTCTCCCGGCGCGCCGAGGACGCTGGTTAGTTTCGCTCCGGGTTCCGGCTGCGTTGGGCGTGCGTGCGGCTCGCGAAGACTATGGCGTCCGGGCCTCACCCGACCTCGACCGCGGCCGCCGCCGCCGCCGCCGCCGCCGCCTCGGCCGTGCCCAGCGCCGGCGGCTCCAGCTCCGGGACCGCGACCACGACGACGACCACGACGGGCGGCATCCTGATCGGCGACCGCCTCTACTCGGAAGTTTCGCTCACCATCGACCACTCGCTGATCCCGGAGGAGAGGCTGTCGCCCACCCCGTCGATGCAGGACGGGCTCGACCTGCCCAGCGAGACGGACTTGCGCATCCTGGGCTGCGAGCTCATCCAGGCCGCCGGCATCCTCCTGCGGCTGCCGCAGGTCGGTGGCCCCCGGCTCCCCGCGGCCCTCCCCGGCTCCGCGGCCTGTCCTGCCCGGCTCCCCGCGGCCGGCCGGCGGAGCACCGGGCCTGCGGGGGCGGCGGGAGCACCGGGCGGCGGGCGGGGGAAGGGAGGCGAGCGGCGGCGGCACAAAATGGCGGCGGCGCCTGGTGCGGGCCCGCCTGACCCCTGCGCTCCCCTTCTTGTCTCGTCTGCAGGTGGCGATGGCGACGGGGCAGGTGCTGTTTCATCGTTTCTTCTACTCCAAGTCCTTTGTCAAACACAGTTTCGAGGTGAGCAGATGGGAGGCGGGCGGCGGCGGGTGCCGAGGGCTTTCTTCTCCGCCCGGAAACGGGGACGGGACGGGGCGAGGGGGAGGGCGGCTCAGTGTCCGGCAGCCCAGCCTTTCCAGAAAGGGAGTGGTTCGGTGGCGACCTTCGTACCCAGTTCGCACTCTCCGGGAAGTGGGAACCCCGCCAGCGGTGTAGGAGGAACTAGAAAATGGATCCTGAGCCCCCACGTGTCCTCTTAGCCACGAATTAGGGTGAAGACCGAGTACTCGACTCTGGATCCTAAACTGGAAAGGCTCATTTTATCCCACTCCAGGATGGCGGGTACACCCCGAGCCTGGGCTTTATTTAGCCAGAGGGGGACCCCGTTCATGTTCCAAGGTTTCTTCATTAAGGAGCAAGTTAGACGCTGAGAAGAACCTCCCGCCCCCACCCCCACCGCGCTGACGGGAAGGAACGATTGCGTGGCCTGACCGCCGTTTTTGCCCTCTTGTGGGTTTTGTTTTTTTTTCAGATTGTTGCCATGGCTTGTATTAATCTTGCATCTAAAATCGAAGAAGCACCTAGACGGATAAGGGATGTGATTAATGTATTCCACCACCTCCGGCAGTTAAGAGGAAAAAGGTAAGATTGGCGTTACTGAACTTAGTACCTCCTACTGCTGCTGTGCTCTGCGCCAATCATCCAGTGCACACTCCTTTCTTTTCAAGTCACTGCACAGAAAAGCGACTTTAACGTAGGTGTTAAAGTTCACATAGGAATACGGATACTTAACTTTGAAAAAAACCAATTAACCAGCTATCTGAAGTTTGTAGAGGCAGTATCATTTGTGGACAATCCTAGCTGTGCTGTGAAGCCAGTCCCGTGGTTTAAGATTAAACAAGAAAGGGAGTACGTTGGGCTCAAGTGTGAGTGTATTCTGTAAGTCACTCCCCCCTCCCCAACCACCACCCCTGGAAGACAAGGCTGGAAGTGAGACCGCGTGGTTCAAGGCAACGCCGTGGCACGGTTCTGTGTAGGTTGTTTTTCTGCTCCGAGTCCCAGTTAATTCTTTATCAATTGAGGTTGGCTTTTGTTAGAATACTTCTCAACATTGAACCACGATAAATCGAATAAAACCGGATCTGAAAGGACTGCAGGATGATAAAGTTTGAAGTTTGAAGTCAAAGGGATTAAACAAGGTATTTTGTTTTTGGTTAGACACAGTCTCAGTGAGCGGGTTAGAAAATTATTCCAATGAGATTGGGTTGCGTTCAGATAAGGCCTGTTAAAAGGCCTCAAAAGGGAACTGCCGGCACTGAAACAGTATCTGGGTGTTGTGGCATTGTGACACATGTATGTGAGCCTGTGTGTTCATGGAAACAGTACCACACGTCGTCGCAGAATTGCCTGGAATGACGGACGGCTTCTAGTGTAGTTAGTTGTGTTCACTTTTTAGGGAGTGTGTGGTAGTGGACACACTTGGATTGAGTTTGCGTGGAAGTTAGTGGTTAGGGAGGTTGGATGTTGGTTAGTGTCAAGTCAGCGTGCTGTTGAAGCAGTCCTTGGGGCTGAGTCTGTGGCTGGTACTGACACGAGCAATAGTAAATCTAGTTAAGTTGTTCTACCCAGATACGTAGCTTTCTTATCCTCTTCAATCTTGTTTGTCCAGAGACAGTCATTAATTTTACTTTAAAATAGTTGTAGTGCCTTGGTGAGAAATCTGTAGGTAATGGAAGATTATAGCTTAGTGTGATCCGAGCTTAAATTTGTGTTTAGATATCTGGCTCACTTCCTCAATGTATTTAAACGTTAAAACTGGCACAAGCCTTGTTAGTCAAAGGATTGTTTCCTTAAGGGAAGTGGTTTGTTTCCTGGCAGTAATCTCTGAGGCAACTTTGAGCTAGTCTGTGATCCAGTGAACCAAGTAGGAGACAGCTGCATCTGATGATCTACTTCGAAATTTTCTTGATAGGTTCCTTGATGTCAGAGTAGTTCTTTGTAACTAAAAAATCCTGGAATTAAAGTAATCCCCACCCAATTGATTGTTCTTATGTAACTGGGTTTTTGTCATTATTACCAAGAAATTGATTTTGCTTCAATCTTAGAAGTCTGATTATAGCATGAAATTTAAAGGAATTAATTGCATGGAAGCTTTTTAAAAAGCAGGATGTAAAAGTTTCTATGCATATTACAAGTTTACTCAGACACATAACTTGTATATGTTATTAACTTCAACTCTTTTTTCCCTTGCAACCGACTATACAGCGACCAGCTACATTTACCAAAGCCTGGGTGATGTGGAGTGGTACATAGAGATGAAGCTGTCGTCATGGCAACAGTGAGTGAAGTATCGAAAATCCCCAAGGAGAAGCCAGTGCTCTGAGAATAGGTCACTGGAATCGGGGACTAACAGGTTGGCCACTGGTGAACCATTTAGAACAACTCCTGTTTCCTGTTACAAGCTTTTGTCTTTGCTGTCCAAGTTATTAGAGCTGTAGCTTAGTGATTTTTTTTTTTTCTTTAATCTTGGCACGAGTACTATCAGTATCACACCTTAGGTAAAGCATGTCAATTGTAATCTTGTTTAATCTAGTTTATGTGCAGCTTCTACTGTAATGGGACCTTGATGGTAGGAGATGTTCATGTAACCTTTAGATGGCTGCTTTTCAGTCCAAGTTACACAGTAGAATCACCAGGGGAACTTTAAAAAAGAATATTGACTCAGGCCTCCCCTTTGAATTTTTTATGCTTTAATAATAATTACAAGTTCAGGGCTAATGGCTGAATTTAAAGGGAAAGTTGATTTTTTTTCCCCAAGTCATTTCAGTTCATTTTTAAATGATTTGCTTTTGATGTGCATCCTATTGATTGTGAAGTATAGGGTTCCCCCCAACCCTCTAGTTTGAAGGGAATCATTATCTAGTGTTTTTAAAAGACAGGCTTAATCACTCCACTCATTGAGTGTGAGTTTATGATATTTTGATTGTATATGTAATGGCAGAAGTTGAAGCAGTCTGAAGTTTCCATTTCTTGAAAGAACTTCACCAGTTGTGTGTTGTACTCCACAGCTGGTCTTAAGTCAGCTAAAGAAAGGCTGCCCCAACTCTGAATTAGTTAGGCCTGAAATTAACTATTGTATGTGTTCTGCTTTCAATAGAATCTTGATAACTGCAAGTGCTGGAGACTTTGAGCCTTAGCCCTGTGCTTTTGTTTGGGTAGTTAATCTTGTTAAGGAGAAGCAGCTACCCCAATAGCATTTTCTGAAACTTGAAATTTCATCAGGAAATTTAGAGTGGAGGTTGTTCAAATTCATGAGTTAGTATATGAACAGATTTTTCAGTTTCTATGAGTAGATGAAATATCTCTAGTTGAATTTTGATAATTTCTCTGGTTGGCTTGGAACTTTTCCTTGACAAGGGAAATTTGTGAAGAACATTACATTTTGCAAGCTTAATTCACTTTTGATCTGAGTGTTGCCAGTAATAACATGTTACACTGCTGCAGCTTGTTACATAAAGACACTTGCTTAATTTCCTTCCCTGTAACTTTCTGCTGATGTGTGTTACATTTACTTTTCCATTGCTGATACAAAATAACTGATCTCAGAGGCTGTTACAAATTACACGTTAGCCAAGACTTCCTCGGTCATTTGTGGTAGAAGCCATTCTGGAGAAAATGAGATATCCCATTCTGTATCTGTAATGTTTTAACTGTGAAAACTGCAGATAACAGGACTTAACAACTTGGACATATATTGAATTACAATAAATAATGCCTGTTTCCTTAATTTATCTTGATGATATGGGAATTCGCATACAAAAAATGGATTATGGCAGAATATGGGGAATAACTTGCTTTAGTAGAATTGTTGAATGGTTGTGGCCAAGTTTGGGGCAGATAGTTGCCGTGATTACATACACATTGTGAAGGACTTAGCAATAAAATGCGTTTGTTCTTATAATTAACTATTAAAGGTAACTGAAAGGCAGGTGTTCTTAGTAAGATTCCTGATCAACATAACGGGTAGAACGCGAGACGGCTTTGCTTTCCTAGGAATGAATTGCAGTGATGTGTTTTACTGTCTGGATTGTAGCAGAGGAGTTTCAGTGCTGTGTAGTTGGAACACTAGAGCTCTTTATCCCTTAATGCCAGTGGGGAGGGGAGTCATCAAATAACCAACCGTTCTTCAGAGTCTAAGTTGGGATTTGACTTTCCAGACGCCCTCTGACAATTTAGACCAGAAAAAGTGTGTGAAACTTAAATTCCTTGGAATATATTTCCTTTTATATAAATATGTGTGTGTGTAGATGTTAAGTATGAAGTTGCTTTTTTTTTTTTTTTCAAAGAGCATTTATAATTACTCTCTTGATGAAGGCTTCATTGCCTTAGTAGGCCACCTGTCACCCTAAGTGCTAACCTCGGCACCTTTGGCAGATGTGATAGGATTGAACTGAGTAATAGCTGTTTTGCTGTTCTGTAAGATCGGCCAACTTCTGTGCTGGTGGTATTTGGTAAATGTACAAAATTAGCAATTAGTTAGCATTCCAATTTTTGTTTTAAATGGGACAGAGGAAGGAAACTGATGGCTCCCATCATGTTAAACGTGCTGCCCCACTGATGCCTGAGCACGGTTCAGATACTTTTCTCACATTCAACATTATGTAATTTTTCTGAGAATAGATGATTTTTCTGGATCTGGTATGCACTGGTGTGAATATTTCAGAATGGCTGTCTTTAAGATATGGTGTCTTTCATCCAGAGTGAAACTTGTCACTGAGAATGAATTGGGGAAAATGTGAACCCCACATACATACCTAGCCATATAATCAGTGCCTTAATAGAAGTGGGCATCTTGTTTACCAGATGACATGGGTACGCATTATAAAATTCTTTCTAAAGAAAGTGAAAAATCAGTTTCTTGACATCTTTTAATTAAAAACTCAATAAAATCTGCTTTGAACTGTAAGAATGTATAGTAGCGCCCCCCATATTAAAAAAAAGAGTGCTTGAGTTATTGCATTACTTGAGTGTGCCGTTTTCGAAACATGGAGCCACAAACGTGCGTGCAGACGTTGGTGTCATAGAGCCCTTTGAGATGATCACAATTTAGTCTGACAGAGACCTTGAGCGCGGCCTTCTGGCTCTCTCTGTCACTGTCTTACGTTGTGCCGAAGTGCCTCATGTCTGCTACTGACCACACTTGAGATCTACACTATATAGTTTTGAATGTGGATTTAATTTATTTTCTTTTGTTATAATTAAGGTAAATCCTTAGTTTCAGTTTTTCGTTTTAAAACTGGGGGACAGATTCTTAGAAGTTTGTTCAAACAGATTTAGTGGGGAATCTGAACTAGCTAATTTATCCCCTAAATGTATTAGCTATCAAGTAGGTAACTATAGAACGTTAGAATCATAGGAGAACTTTCCATAGTACTGCACATGTTATAAGGAGCACCTGATTTTTTTTTTTTAATCATTGGAAGCCTCTGGAGACTTGATTTGTGATAAAGTAGGTAAATACATATATATGTGTATATTTCCAAAATGATAAAGTTAAGACTAAACGAGCATTTGAGTGATTTTTTTAGAGTTTTATTTATCTGATATGCATCAGAAAGGGAGAGGCAAAGACAGATGAGTCTTATATCCCCTGAGTGAACTTACTTTGTGAGTGTGACCGTTGAGCTAGTTTCCTTTTTCCAGGAGCTTCGCCTAGGTGTAATTTAATTAGCATAACTTGGACAGCACAAGATTAATGCTTTAACTTGTTTGCAGGAGTTTAAAAAGCTGGTTTCTGTTGCCAATAGTTGGTTGGAAGGGAAAATGGAGCTGCCACAAATAAAATTTTTTGGATGTGCAAAACAGTTTTGATTTTATTTCTTACAAACTATAGGACTCCAAGCCCCCTGATCCTTGATCAGAACTACATTAACACCAAAAATCAAGTTATCAAGGCAGAGAGGAGGGTGCTAAAGGAGTTGGGATTTTGTGTTCATGTCAAGCATCCTCATAAGGTGAGTTGTAGAATAAAGACATTTATATTTCGTGTTAGAATAGAATTTGTTTATATTGGAGTATTTATGAGTTTTAAAAAGCCTTCTTTGGAGATTTGTCAGTTAATATTGGAGTCAAAGATAAAAGTTGAAAGCCTCACTTTTAATTATAAAACTGTAGATAATTTCTAATATGGTTAAGTCCAAGTTTTTGCACCTAGAAAATGGAGATGATAAAATACCTGAGGAATAAAGAGTCTTGCTGTACAACACAGTACCTGGCAAGTTCTGTCACAGAGTCAGATGTGCAAGGCTTGGTGACTGCTCAGTAGTTGTAACTATTAATCACTGTAAGTAAAAGACCAGTGGTTCTGAGTTGGGTGTTTGGGTTAGGGCTCTGGCGTAGAAAGTTGCTTTGCCCTTTGTCATTTGCCTCGGCAGGTGTCCCCTACTCAGTTTTCATTTTTCTAAAGCTAAAAGAGGGCAACAGAGGTGCTCCTGTTGGTCTAGAAACACCTAACGTGAAGTGAGACAAAGCTGTTTACGTGCAGTTGTATCAAACTTGTGTGATGAACTTTGCTGGGAAAATGCTGAGGTTCCGTTAATGTGATACAGTTGGGGATTACAGTGTCTCGTGGCTGTGGTAACTGTCCAGAGCCAGTCCTTGTCTAGGGGCACGTGAGGCACACCTTGGAAATTGAGGTGAGGTGATGGACACAGTGCTGTATGGCATATTAATGATTCAGTTCTGTGAGTTGGGTAATGGGTATAATTTTGGACATAGATCTTATAAAAAAATTCAGTGACATTAACTTAGGCTTAGTCTCAGGTGAGTTTTAAATAATTCAGTTTATAGAATTCGAATGTAATATTTCCAGTGATATTGTTCAATGAATTCTGTACACTGGAAAGAAATAACGCTAAATTGAGTTCTTTCTCCCTTGTTCTTCAGATCATTGTTATGTATTTACAAGTCTTAGAATGTGAACGTAATCAAACCCTGGTTCAGACTGCCTGGTAAGTTGCTTTTTACATTTCTTTCCTAGCCAGGAAAACAGAAGCAGAAATAAAGTAAGTTTCATTTTCCCTTTCCAAAATAATGAGATAGTTTGTTTTGGGGCTTTTGTTTTTTTTGTTTTTAAACTAAAAGGTAAATAATGCTTATTTCTGCTTCCTGTTTTCTTGGCTTGATTAATTATTTTTAATGGAGAACTCAATTTAACTTTGTTCTTTTTTCTACTCTTTAATTAAAGGGTAGTCCATGATGGTAAGTCATAGACCTCTGCCCTCTGCACTTCAGCCCATGACCTCAGGATGGCCTGATTGGCTGCCCTGCTCTCCAGCCAATCCAGTGCAAGCTCTCATCCGAGATTCACTGAAGTGGTCCATATCCATCTGGCAGCATCTTCTAGTTCTGTCGGGGTGTCAAAAGGATTTGTATATTTGCTTCTAGAAGTAACTATTCAACGTGCCTTATGTATTCAATGTATACCTGTAACTATCAAAATGAGTAGTTCATTTTTGATAGAGTTGTTGTCCAGCCATTATGAATTAACATGGTTTTCTAAGTTAGACATTTGACTAAATTTGTGTTTATGGTATGTGTAGCATGAATTCTACAAAAGGAGGCTACAACCAGTAATTTACAATGGGCACCAGTTCCTATATTGGGTTAATTTATAGCTGGTAATATTAGAAGTAAATACTTCATTTTTAATAGACAATTTACAATCACTTAAAGTAGAAGAGCTTGTGGCTTAGCCACGGTTACTATTTCATAGAACTGCTGATGTGTGTAAAACTGTGTTCTGGATTTTTCAAGCAAGGTAGCATTTTATTATTACTATTACTGCCATGCTTTTGGACTCAGTTAATAATATAATAGTATTATTGGAAAAGTCTCACTGCTTTTATAAAAATGCATGACATTTTAAATGTTTTCTATAAAGCACATTTTAGAAGCTTTTATGGGGTAAGGATTTTTAAGTAATCCGTTTAATTTTAGCTTAAATGTCAGCAATTTGTAAGCTTTCTTTAAAGTCTTGGATTATTGTGGGGAGGTCATTAACACAAGTCTACCAGTGTATTCATTGAAGTAGTGTGCTGCTCTAACTTAGTCACAAGGTATGTAAATGAGACCATTATATATATTTATGCTCTTCACTTCCCTACCTGGGTTTTCTGACTTAGCTTAGTTTTCTTAATATGATTTTGTTGGTGCTTACTATTGAAAATGCCTCACAGTATTTTTGGTTGACACTGCTTTTTGTTGTGGATAAAGGAGAGATGGTCAGTAAGTAATGGCTTGAAGAACTGTTGGGTGGTTTATCAGTTATGAAACTAGTTGATTTTACAGAAATACATGTGTTGAAAAACCGGGGGTAAGTTCTATTTGGGAAGTTACGGCATTATTTGAAACGGTTGCTCATATTTGGGGAGATTGAATAAGTGTTATTCTTATTTTGATTTCTTAAAGTTTATTGTTACATGCTAGAATGAATGTGAATGTAAGAGAAGAAAAAAGAATAAAGTAGATTGAGTCTCCAATTATATATCAAGTTTAGAAGACTTGACTTGTTTACATGAAAAGCTTATGGTTAAAATATTTTTTAGGAATTACATGAATGACAGTCTTCGCACCAATGTGTTTGTTCGGTTCCAACCCGAGACTATCGCATGCGCGTGCATCTACCTTGCAGCTAGAGCCCTGCAGGTAGGGGAGGGGACACGGCTGTGGGCTGCAGCGTGGGTGTTAGCAGTGGAAACCTAAGCCAGCACCTTTGTGTTTTCACGGTGTAGATTCCACTGCCAACCCGTCCCCATTGGTTTCTTCTTTTTGGCACTACGGAGGAGGAGATCCAGGAAATCTGCATAGAAACACTTCGGCTTTACACCAGGAAAAAGGTTTGTTTCACTACTCTGGCTTGTGCAGATGTCTTGTCACCAAGAATCTAAATTACTGCAGAAGGAAAATACTAAATCTGTTTTCCTCCTACAGCCAAACTATGAATTGCTGGAAAAAGAAGTAGAAAAAAGAAAAGTAGCCTTACAAGAAGCCAAATTGAAAGCCAAAGGGTTAAATCCTGATGGAACTCCTGCCCTTTCAACCCTTGGTGGATTTTCTCCAGCTTCCAAACCATGTAAGTTAATAGAGGTGAAGTGACCTGGCAGTGGAAGTGTCATTAGGAAGCTTCAGCGTTTAGCAGGTGGTTGCTTTGATGTGGCCACATGAAGCTCAGCGACACCTGAGGGCGGGTGCGCTGAAGCATAGGACCGGGCGGTAGGCTCAGAACTGTCGTAGTAACCATGCCATTGTCACTGTCCTTGAAGCATCACCGAGAGAAATAAAAACCGAAGAAAAGTCCCCAGTCTCTGTTAATGTGAAGACAGTGAAGAAGGAACCTGAGGACAGGCAGCAGGCCTGCAAGAGCCCTTCCAATGGGTGAGTGTGGGGGCACCAGTGTCCTGGGGGACCTTGGGGCTGCTTTGTGACATGCAAGTATGTAACTAAATGCGGTCAATTTCTCCTTGTGAAGTGTAAGAAAAGAAAGCAAGAGAAGTAGAAATAGCAGAAGTGCAAGTCGATCAAGGTCAAGAACTCGATCAAGGTCTAGATCGCACACTCCACGGAGACAGTAAGTAAGAGGAGCTTGTTTCTCACGGTTGCATCGGGCGCGTCCTAGTGAGTCTGGGATTGGACTAAGCTGAGGTAAACCGTGAGCAGTGAACCCAAGGTGCTTTGGGGTGTGGGACAGATGTGATGCATGTTCATGGCATTTTATGCTCTTGTCCCCTAGGAAAGTATGTAATATCTTGCTTTTGTTACAAAAATGTTGCTTCTCTATTGAATTTTGGATAAGTTGATACTATAAATAACTAGTAATCAAGTTTACTGCATGCTAGTTAGTGCTCATAACTGGCATGGCTAGGTCCTTGCGACTCTGCAGTTTTTTTTGTTTGAGCAAGTGAGTGAAAAAGCTCAGAAAATGTGTATGATTTGTATATAGGACTGGGCGGGACAAGTCAAGGGAGGGAAGGTTTAGAAAAAGTACTTTGGCTTGTGATTGATGGAGCTGGTAGTTTTGTTTGGAACCTCTTAGAAGCAACCCTCTATATGTTGCCGTAGAGACTGAATCTAAACCTGCAATTTTTATTATCTAAGTTATAACAATAGGCGGAGTCGATCTGGAACATACAGCTCGAGATCAAGAAGCAGGTCCCGCAGTCACAGTGAAAGCCCTCGAAGACATCATAATCATGGTTCTCCTCACCTTAAGGCCAAGCATGCCAGAGATGATCTAAAAAGTTCAAATAGACATGGTCATAAGAGGAAAAAATCCCGCTCTCGATCTCAGAGCAAGTCTCGGGATCACTCCGATGCTGCCAAGAAGCACAGGCATGAAAGGGGACACCATAGGGACAGGCGTGAGAGGTCGCGCTCCTTTGAGCGGCCTCACAAAGGCAAGCACCACGGGAGCAGCCGCTCAGGACACGGCAGGCACAGGCGCTGACACCGCCCTGGCGCCCGCAGCTCTGGGGACAGGCAGGCACAGGCGCCGACGCCCGTCCTCGACGCCCGCCCTCGAGCCCGCAGCCTTCCTGGCTGGGCTGTCTGCAGTGCGATGAGTGGATGCGTCAGTAAAGGCAAACCAATTAGGATTTGATTTTTTTAAAAAAGAAAAAAAAAAGCTGTCTAGGTCTAGAAACACGGAGGACATTTTCTTTTGAAAAGAACTATGTTAATCCTTTTTTTTTTTTTTTTTTTTTGCACATTAAATGCCCTAGCAGTATCTAAATTGAAAACCATGGTCAGGTTCAATTGTACTTTATTATAGTTCTGTATTGTTTATTGCTACAAGAACTGGAGGGTGAATTCTGTAAAAAAATGTATCTTATTTTTATACAGATAAAATTGCAGACACTGTTCTATTTAAGTGGTTATTTGTTTAAATGATGGTGAATACTTTCTTAACACTGGTTTGTCTGCATGTGTAAAGATTTTTACAAGGAAATAAATACAAATCTTGTTTTTCTAAACTGCTTCAAATATCTTATTTAAATAAATTATTAAAAAGCAAGTTTACCAGTAAAATGGCTGTACTGATTTATGACAAACTTTTCTGTTTTCCATTAGGGATAGCTTGAGGTTATTAAAGCGCAGTTTTTCTCTGTATTGAGCTATCTGGATGCAGCAAATGGCAGTGACCCAACAGTGTAATGTTAAATGCTGCAACACTAAACTCAGAACTTAATTTTTACTTGAATTGGGAGCCGAAGGGAATTTCAAGTCAATTTTAACCATTTCCAAGGGAAGCTCCCTGAAGAAGCAAACTTTTAAACATGACCATAAACAGGACTCAGTTTTCAGCTTATAAGTTTTTCTGTTTTAAGACATTGAATGATAGGATTTCTTAGTTGAAAGGCTCAGAATCAGCAAGGGTTAGGTTGATCCTGTATTTGTAGATTGATTCCCTGAAGTGACCCTCGTAGGCTAGGCTAAGAGCAGGAGCCTGCAAGTACGCCCAGCCTGCCTGTGTGCTGGTAGGGGTTGGAGTACTTGGGCAGTCGGTACTCTGCACCCTGCTTTCCCAGCGCATGAGTAGGGAACTGCATCTCCAGGGGAGTAGCCAGAACTTGAGCTGGCAAACCAGTAAAGGATGTAACTGTCCCAGGGCATGGCCTAACTTGTGCTCCACATACTTGCCCTGAGTGATGGTGTTTTTGATGCAGGCTTGGGAAGACTGAGTTAATAAAGTTAGGTCCCTGAATCTGATAAAGAGAAACTAGGAAGAAGGGAATAAGGAATTTTGGTATACTGTGAACACACAGTTCAAAACTTCAGAAAGTTAGATTTTTGAAATCTATTTAGTTTATTTCCTAGTTCCATAATTTTACATGAACTGAAAGATTTCTTATATGCATGAATTTCAGAATGCTTTTCATTCCATGTGTGAAGATTTATTGATTTAAAAGGCAGAGTTAAAGAAGTCTTCCATCCATCGGTTGGCTCCCTGGATGGTTGTAGCAGCCAAGGTGAAGCCAGGAGCTCCTCCAGGTCTCCCACGGGGGTATACAGGTCCAAAGACCGGAGCCATGCTCCACTGCTTCCCCAGGTGCTGAACAGTGAGGTGGGTTGTAGGTGGAACAGTCGGGACCTGATGGTGTCACCACAGGAGGAGGGTTAGTCTGTTAGGCCTGCTCTCCAGCCCCTTCGTATGCTTTTTGTAACGGCTTTTTCAGGTGAGATTGAAAGGTGTTTTTTCCAATATACTAGAAATGAGTTTTGAGATCTTCAAAGTAAAAATAATTAGAAGTAATTAAGTTTCCGTTGAATTTTCTTTACCCACTCTTCATTACTTACCTTGTCTACTAGACTTGGCTCCAAATGATTTGCTGCTGTTCCCAAAAAAGCCAAAACACACAAAAAGAAGTTTACTGCCACTAAGGATGTTTTTAAAAAGTTAACAGCTCCTGAAGAAGATGCCCAGGACGGCTTCCCCATGTCATCACTGGCAGGCAGTGGGGCTGGTAGGATAGATGGCACAGAGCCCCACTGGAGCAAGCAAGACTCGTGGATATAAACACCTGGTATGTTACTGAAATCAGTTGTTTTATGAAAACTAACATGGCTAGCATGTATTAGTAACAGGCTAACTTGAAAGAATAATTCAGCGTTTTTCTGTATACTGCTGACGTGTAAGTAGTTGTAAAACATTTCTCTGGTGCAAGGCAGGCACTGAAGAAAGACGAGCATCAAAGAAGGGCTCGGTAACCCGGTGTACCTGTGTTGTGCTGTCTTGGAGGGAGGAGCTGTGTAGCTGCAGATGGTTCAGGGACAGGAGTCGGAGCAGGGTGGACTTGCACGTGGAGCACAAACGCTTTCAGCAGCAGGTGACACAGACGTGCAGCTGAGGTTTTCATTGTGGTGGTGGCTGGCATTTTGGGGTTCTTTTCAACAGGTTAACCTTGTGTTGCTTTACTTGAAGAAACATCTTTAAGAAGTACACCATGTTTGGATATTTGCGTATTACCTATTTTCAAGCTTGTGGAAAATTTTGAGCATGGAGCAGAGCACCCATTTTGATCCACCAATAACCAATTTGTTATCAGTCAGCTTGTATGTATAACGTTGAATCCCACACATTTGATCCTTTACTATCCACTTCAAAATATAAGAACTTTTCAACCAGCCAGAATATTTAATACTATCCAATGTCCAGATTTACCCTTGCTGGTATTTTTGTAGTGACCTTCAAAGAAGGGGCCTATACATTGCACTGTAACTACAATATTTGCAGATTATTGGAGAAATTGGATGCTGTCCTAAGTGATTTTTCACATTCTAGGTTCTTTGCAACCCTGTGGTGTCATGACATGTTTTCTTGTCCCCTTTCCTGCCTGTTTTCCCCCCTAAATCACTGGGCCCTGAGTCATATCTTGCCTTCTTCCATGGATTTGGTTGACACAGTGTCATTCCTGTTTGCATTTTATAAAAACACATTTTTATTGGAAAGGTTTACAAAGTGAAAGTGAGAGAGAAAGATCTTCTATCCGCCGGCTCAGTCCCCAAATAGCCACAATAGTCAGAACTGAGCTGATCTGAAGCCAGGAGCCAGGGACTTTTTCTGAGTCTCCCATGTGGGTGCAGGGTCCTGAGGCTTTGGGCTGTCCTTGACTACTTTCCCAGGCCACAAGCAGGGAGTTGGAAATGGAGCAGCTGGTTCCCATATGGGATCCCGGCACATGCAAGATGAGGACTTCAGCCACTAGGCTACCATGCCGGGCCCTTCCTGTTTTCTTTCAATGAACCAGCAGCTAATGTTTTTTGGAACTTCATACAACTTAAAAGCATCCTCTTGCTAATTTTTTTCAAGATTTATTTTTTTTTTTTTATTGGAAAGTCAGATATACAGAAAGAAGGAAAGACAGAGAAAGATCATCTGTCTACTGATTCACTCCCTATGTGCTATTGGCTGGGGCAGAGCTGATCCTAAGCCAGGAGCAGCTTCTGGGTCTCCCACGTGGGTGAAGGGTCCCAGGTCCCAAGGCTTTGGGCCGTCCTCAACTGCTTTCCCAGGGAGCTGGATGGGAAGCAGGGCGGTGGAAATACAAAACGCCGCCATGTGGGATCCTTGCTAACAGATTTTATTAGAGACAGTAACATTAAAAACCTAGACTTCCAGCTGCTTTTTGAAAAGGACAATGTATGATATGGGGGCAGCAACAATTGACTGACAGCCAGTACCCTCTGGTTGGGCTGTGGCTGCTGTGGTACTCACAGCACCTGCCTGTGCTGCGGTCTGGGGAAGCCAGGGCTCGCCGGGACGGTCTTCTGCGTGGACTTCGGGAGACCTGCTCCTTTGGTTTACTGATGTCCCCCACCTGGCCCTTGACTCCAGCTTCTTGGCGAGTGTTTCCAGACCTGTGCCTCTCACCAGACGGGGTCCTGAGTCGGTGGGAAATCACAGTGTTTGCTGGAGCCGTCATCCCTCCAGTGTGTTTGAACTTGTCCAAATCAGAATTTCTTAGCAATTCTTACATTGCTGGAACACTTCTGTTTCAGAAGAGTAGCTGCAACAGATTAGCAGTGACAATAAAGCCCTGTTTAAATCAGTAAGTCATGCTCCCAGCCCCTGACTGACCTCATTACACACACACGATTGAGCCAGCAGATGAACTTTGAAACTCACTTAAAAATAGTCAAATTGCAAATGTCATGTGTCCATGATAATTGCATATGATCTCATGAGAGTTATCAGCAGATAGAAGTAAACTGTGACAAATGTATATTTAATGTCCAATTGGAGCCAAAAGCAATATTCAAAACCCAAACAGGGGTTGGTCTTGTGATACGAGCAGCTAAGCCACTGCTTGCAACTCGGGCCTCTGATAGCAGAGTGCTGATCCCAGGTACTCTGCTTCTTATCCAGCTTCCTACTAACGCGCCTGGAAGGGCGATAGAAGCTGGTCCTGATGCCTGGGCCCTGCCGCCTGTGTGGAAGGCCAGGGTGAAGATCTATGCTAACTGCCGCCTGGCTAGGTCTGGGGAATGAACCTGCAGATAGACAATCTGTCTGCCTCTGACCTGTAGGGCCCTGGATATTCTTATAGACGGTTAGAAAAGTGAATTGGCCGAGGGAATGCTTCACAAGGGCCAAGAAGGGGCCCAGGTGCCAAGACAAGGGCACCTGCAGCATGCACGGGGAAGCACTAGGCCTGCCTGTCAGAGCGGCAGAGCGTGGATGGGGAACACACAGGCAACATTGAAGCAGACACCGCATGGTTTATAGGAGTTGGACTCCCTGGGTTCCATGCCTAACGCCTGTACTTATCTTTTGCACAAGTGTACTTAAGCTTTCATTTTTGTATCTCTGAAGTTATTAATTAGGCCCACTGGATTCAGGTGTTAGGAGGCTTAGAGGAAGTAATAAATGTAGCCCATTTAATATTAGTAGTGAGTGTTCATGTTATTACTGGTTTCGCTGGATGCCCGTGGATGTCAGGCAAGGCTGTCTTGTGGGTCAGACGGCTGTTATTGTAAGCTGCAGCTATGGTGTTCCCACAGGACTGCAGTAAACTACCAGTGGCTTACAGCGGCCTCAGGTTCTCTCCAGAGGCTCCAAGAAAGACCCTTCCTGCTCTCCAGCTTTCAGTGGTTCCCGGCAATCCTTGCCTGGGACTTGTAGCCACCTCTTCTTCATGTGGTCTTATTCTCTGTGTGCATCTTAAAATGACACCAGGGTCTGCCCGTAAGCCTCATCTTAACTAACTACACCTGCAGAAGACCGTGTTTCCAGTACGCTCATGTTCTGAGATTGAAGGAGGATGCGAGTTTAGGGAAAACTGTTCATCTCGTGATAATAATGCAAGAAAACAATGTTCAAAATAAAAACATCTGAAGTTTGAAACAATGTGAAACTTAATACTTTGCAAAAACTGCAAAGAATTCCTATATACTCCACCAAGTTCCTCAACTGTTAGCACGCTTGGTTCATCCCTCTTTTCTCGTGTTGCTGGAATAGATTACAGTCATGAGGTCTATGCATAACTGTTAAGTGCCTCATCTATTCCTAAAAACAAGGACGTGACCCTACATATTGAAAACACCACCTTTCCTCCCCTCGTTCCCCTGCTTGCTTGCTTCAAAGGGCAGAATGACAGGAGGAGAGCAGCGAGGTAGGCTTTCCATCCGCTTGGAAATCCTCACATGTCTGCCACAGACAATGCTGCACCAAGCTGAAGCCAAGGGCCCGGAGCTCCATCCAGGCCCCCAGCACGGTGGCAGGGACCCAAGTACTTGGTTGCTCATCCACTGCCGTCCCTGGCACAACAGCACAAAACTGGATCAGAAGGATGGTGGAAGATGCATGCATCCCGAGCAGAGGATTAACCCGCTGCAACACAAAGCCCACTCCCACTTATGTTTGCAAGGCAGATGAAGAGACACAGCTGCTCTCTGCTGTTGGCCAACACCTCCCATGGCCAGAGTGGAGCCATGCTACAGC